TGGCTATACTGACCAATCACGTTCAACGGAACAGACTTATAACATCATCGACTGACAAACACTATTCACTTGACTCTGAAGATGACTTCCGCTCTGGTTGTCGAAACGTCAATCACCAACAACAGTTCTTTTCAGAACTACACTCACCCGGACGATCACACTATACGAACTATTGTTTGGTGACCAAACATTTTACCGTTTGGCCACCTTGTTTAGTGCTGTTTGATCGTGTTTGAAAAAATTTAAAACATTTCTTTTGTTCTCGTATTTGGTGGGCGATGTTTTGTTAGTTTGGACAGCCGTAGCAAACATGTTTGGCGCGCGCATGCGTCCCACGCTTGCTCAACGGCCTGTATCCATAGTTTGATCTGTGTTTGATCAAACATGTTTTAACCGTTTGGCCACTCACTTCAACGTCAGCATGTTTGGTCACCAAACAATGTTTGATGATGTTTGGTCGCTAAACATTTACCGTTTGGACAGGCCTTAATTAAGACCACTTCTTAGGTTTCGTTAATTGTACGAAAACTAAGACCCCATCTTAGTTTTTGTTCTACGAAAAGATCCTATATATCTTGATGATCAGGATGATCGTGCTGATCTGCTAGCTATGTTATAACGCTAATGTGACTGGGCAAGACTGGGGGCATGGTGCGGCCATATCACGCAAATCACCATAGCAAAGCCCAGCTCGGGTTTCGGACCTCAAGTTAACTTGAAATGAGGACTTGCCTTACCGAAAATCAGAGCCACTATACAAGGTGAAGTTAACTGATCAACGCACTGGTTTCAAACTAGGAGTGATCCCTTACTTTTTAATTAGCCACTGTAAGAATGCTGATAACATGAAAGGATCTGAGCTCCCGTCTCAAGACAAAATAAATGAACAAAGCCGGGCCTACTAATCTTGCCAAACAATAGCTAGACAGGCTGGTTGAAAAGACCACATCAACAATGGCCGTAAAGCTGGTATCAGGGGTTTTCTTTCTTCCGGCCTTCCACCACTTATCAAGCACAAAAAGAATTCGTGGCAAGACATACTTCAGTGAGAAATCTGTCGAAATCTGCGAACTGGCAAAAATCGTATTCAAACTAAATAAATGGCCATGTTGCGATGCGGCTCCAGGAAGCAACTTCACATATGTTTACGTATGGACGGTAGCTCTGGTTAATGAAGCAAAAAACGAAACATAATCAAGACTCCGTTAAGTTGCTTTGGTTTTGAAAAAGAGATCCAAAGTTAAGAACTTATATATACAAACTCGGGAGAGGCGCCTTATTTTGTACCGGATATTTCAAAATGTCAGCGGGGTCTCCTCTGACCGAAGTTAGCTTGGTCGATGCATGTTTCAAGGGTCATACGTCTAGTGGTCATAAACAACATTCACGCGTGAAATTTCTCTTATTTGGAGGGGATATAAACGTAAGAAATGAAAACGTTTAAGGAAACAAATTTAGTTATATTGGCTTCAAGAAATTGGGTTCATTTCTAGCCGGCTACTTAAAAATATGAACTTACCTGAGAGGAAATTAGCAGCAGTATTGGTCAACTCACTGGCGTGAAAGAAGGAATGAACTCTTGCTGTTTGATTACGAGGTATGCTGATTATAAAGTACAGCTCTCTTGGGGAAAAAATAACTGAACAATGGTTGTTATGATCTTCCAAGACGAATAATTAGCTATTTGGATCATAGTTAATAGAGGGGTATTGTTATGAAACCCGACTAAGTTCTTTGTTGTATGTTTTTGTTCTCTTTTTTGGCCTCGACCGTGCACAAAACACAATAGTTGTTTACTCCGTACTGAGGAACTAACCAATAGAAACGTGTTGGTTACGTAATTCATGCACAGTGTATGAGCTCAAAACAAAAGATTTTGCACGGTCGTGGACCTTCCAACATAATGACATCTATAGTAAATGGTTTGTACAAACTATTTTCAACGACTGACTCTGAAAAGCTGGTACACTAACCTAGAAGAAAAGCCTCTTAACAGATGTCAACAACTACCAGCGCCTTACAAACGACTTATCTCTGACGGAAACGAAACCGACAAACAGACTTCTAACAGGCCGACTTAATTTGACTAACAATGGACGGACCAAAAACCGACCATTTTGACCAACAATAGACGGATCGAAACCGACCAATGACAGATGACAAACTTAACACGACTCTTTCAGCCAATACCATCATGGCTAAACTGAATCACGTTTAACGGACCAGACTTATAACATCATCGACTGACAAACCGTTATTCACTTGACTCTGAAGATGACTTGCGCTCAGGTTGTCGAAACGTCAGTCACCAGCAACAGTTCTTTTCAGAATTACCCTCACCCGGACGATCACACTATACGAACTAATAATGCATCTTTGTTTGCTCCTTTGATGTTTGCCGGGCCTGGTAAACAGTCCCCTCTATTAACTATGTTTGGATTGACTGGAAAGAACAAAACAACTATGGCTGAGTTAAGCTGGTCTCAGAGGTTTCCTTTCTTCTTTCCATTACTAATCAAGCGCAAAAGCTGTCGAGGCGAGGTATCCTTGAGTGGAGAAACATGCAAACTGGGGAAAACGCTCAGAAACTTCAACCAGGCCATACAACTCTTTCTATAAAGGCATTAGGAAAAGAGTTTAGGAGTTGCTTTTCGTTGAATTTTGCAATTTTTGTTTTTTGTAAGCAAACGTATTATTTGTCTGAGACTTATGATAATACGTCTTGGTAAATGAAATAAGAGACCCACAACATAAACAATTATACCCCTTATCGTACGACTGAGAAAATGTTTTCTTTGTTACTGGCTGAGAACAGGCCAGTTGATCGTTAATTTTTTATTTACCCTGCAGTGAAAATTAACGCGCGTGCGTTCGTAATTTTCTCACTCATGAAAGCTCGTGCAGTTAAGAACCTACAGTACTTATGATATTTGAAAATTGTTTCAAATTACACTCGCCTAAAGGCTCGTGCAATTTTAGGCTCCTTCTGGTGTAAAAGACACAGTACAAGTCATTGTTTTCCTTTTTTTGTCCTTTAGTTGTCTTTTGTTTTACGTCAGCTGAGTCCTCTACACAAAGCATGAGCGCAATTATGCGCGAATTTTCAAATATCACTCGTAATGTAAATCCCTAATTAATCTGCAATTGCATTCATACAATTGCCTATACTAAAGATTCAGCTGGGCAAAAATTTGATCCGTTTGAAACGTCGACACCCGCTATGATTTTGCCCACTGTCTAGGATCACAGAACGTTACTTGTTTTGCCCACATATCCAAAGAAGTATTTCCCATATTTTTTTATGGCAAAATTGCTTTTATTTGTCACTTCATCTTCTAATACACAAGAAGGTCAACTAAAGTATTATGTGTTGTACCACCAGTTGAGACAATATCGGCGTCGGAGGCAGTGTTAATGGGCACCGACTCATTCTGACAATTCGCTGTAGAAAAAAAAGAGAACCACAAGCTCAGTTCATCCTCATTATCACTTTTAGGCGTGGTTTCTATGCTATTTTATGTCACCTTTCAAAGGTATTTCGCTTCAAGGAGCTAAGTCACGGCTTGCACATCTAGAAAAGTTTAGCCTAAGTTTTTCAAGTTCATCGTTTGTAATCCTTGTCAGTCTTCTTCATCCTTAATCATCCTTGATCCCTTATGGTTTATTATTGACTCTCTGGTGTTTTGCTCCTCTGTCTTAGTGAACTATCATTTTCATGTTTCCTTCAATTTCAAGGTAATTTTGAACATGGTCAAAATAACTCGAAATACCGTGACTGAGCTCCTTTAAATAAGGTATCCCGGTAAGTGTTTTGATTACTTTATACTGATGTAAACCTAGACTGCTGGTAAACTACAGTTGCTCGCAACACTAAGCTTTGACAATGCTACATGCAACTAGCGAGCACTGACTGCTGTAATTGACTACCGCACCCAAATTCGCAATTCAGCCAATCAGAAGCTGCGTCTATTGTCCTGATATCCTGCGATATCAAGTCACTGACCTGATATGGCTACGATATCACGCATGTCACTTAGCCGGATTAGGGTACGGTCACAATGCCTAAGTAGTTTGTTTAGTGTGATTGTCCGGGTGAGGTTAATCCTGAAAAGAACTGTTGTTGGTGACCGACGTTTCGACAGCCTGACCAGAAGTCATCTTCAGAGTCTGTTGCTGTGGCATATAAGGCTTGTTTGCAATTGGTTTCACCATGGGTACTTTTTCCTCGACTACGCCTCGCTAAAACCCACGTCTAACCCTAACCAAGGCTCCACCAAAACAATACAATTAGGTACCACCAATCAATGCCTCCCAACTTACCAGCCACCATATGTATCTTGCCAGTATTTATTCCCATAGCACATGCAGCACACCTCCCCCTCCGGACACGGGTCATTAGCTCCACGGTATCCAGAAAGATCGAGCTCTCCTGACTTGCAGGATGATCGGCACTTTTTTGTATATTTGCCTTTTATACCGCCATCGAAACTGCCGCAGTCGACTTGGGGGAAAAAAGTAAAAAAAAAAAATCCTTAATGATATGAAAACCTGTTTTCCAGGAAAGCCAATTGTGATTGGCTGGCCTGCTGTCAACCAATCATGATGAAGAAATGGTCTCAGGCGTATATCTCACTTACGTAACAACCAGTTTCAGCTCGGTAGAACTTGAAAATTACAGGTTTCTATCCATCGGTTTATGTTTCTGATCAGGCATCGCCGAATCTTCTCAAATTTAATTCATCTTTTTTTTCCCCGGGGAACGTGAGTCATGGCCAAACGGGAGGGCTCGGCTCGAAAGGGGTACCTTTTCAGGTGCAGGTTTCACAAGCTGAGGTATGTGAAATGGTAGGGAGATATTTCATTTAGGCATTTAGATAAGAATCTTGATAAGTAAAACATTTCGAAAAGGCGAAATCTTTTGCAAAGTTTGGCGAAATCATGTATCATTTATTTTAAGTGTTCTCTTGCATTATTGTTCGTTATATAAAAGGGGTATCATTTCTGGCAAGATGGGGTACAAAAAAGTAAGGAGCCTCCCCGTATAAACTTTTGTAGAGTACCTGCAGCCCCCCCCCCCCCCGCCCCCCTCCACCCTCTTCCTCCTACTCTGGGCTTTTTCCAAAGCAGTTCATCAACTGAGATAATTTAAAAGAAGCGAAAATATTACTTTGAAGGCTCTTTAAAGTGTCAAGTCGTAGCTGGTTTGCTAAATTTGTACTGAAATAGTTAGTCATTTCTGGTTATGGACCCCTGACCGTGTTACGGAATCGAAGATACCCAGTAAGGTCGGTATATATATATCTATATATATATATCTATATATATATATATATATATATATATATATATATATATATATATATATATAAAATTTAATTTTATCTGATGGAAAGCAAAGTCACTAATTGTAAAGATATGTAAAAAATGCAGTACGTACTTGCTCGTTTGAAGAGAAAATCCTCCATATCGTCGTTGGAGTGATACAGCCTCTCGTCATATTCAGGCTCGTGTGGTTTGGCCAGAACCAACGCCACTTGAACAACGACAAACATCAAGATAATCTTATCAATGCACGCCATGTTGACTGAAATGAAAAGCAGTTATCTCAGTTGCTCTTTCTCTCCTTTAGAAAAATAAGAACAATAAGATAGCAAGAACTCTTCGACAAACACCAAACCTATCTTACTCAGTGCAATGCAAAGGAAAGTACAAAACGCCAAAACAAAATGCAAAAGCAGTGGCGATCCAGACCTTGAGCTAAGCGGGGGAGGTGGGGAAGGCGGTTTTGTTTTGCTTACCCTGCCGGCTTTTCTACCTTCTGTTATTTCTTCTTTTTTTCACCCAAAATAAGGGGGGCCGAGCCCCCTGGGTCCCTCCCCTAGATCCGCCACTGAAAAGCCCTCAAACTGACATTTTGTAACTATGTTAGGTCTGTTCCATCATTAAAGATTTCATCCAGTGTACTAAAAATGGTGTACAATTATATCCTTGTTTAGAGTAGGAACAGGGAACAACATATTTCTTGTTTGGAACTTGAAAGCAAATTTAAAATAGTCACTGGTTAGGTTCAGTGATTTGCTAATCAAGAAATGTTCGTTAATCATGATTATCATAGTTATATCGACTATTATTCACAGTGCCCTAGCAAGGGGAGGGGCCGGGGAGACCCGTGCCCCCCCCCCCAGTTTTTTACCCCAAAAGTAAAAACAGACATATGAAATGTTGAAAATAAAATCTCATCTCCTAGTCGTTCTACACAACTTTCCGCTGAATAACCTCTATGTATCCATTTCCCCAATTCGTATTTGCTATTATTTTTTTTTTTCGCCATCGTAGGGTGATACTAAACGACATGTCGATGAAGTCTGCGTTTGCCTCTAAGGCGACTCAGACAGTTTGATAACGAACTAATACCTGACTCTGATCGAGCCGAGTCTGACAGTGTAGGAAGTAATTCACGATAGGCGTAAATTACAAATAGCTCTTGGAGAACGCTGGAAATAGCATTTCTGAACCTCTAGATTTCATAATTTTCTGGGGGGACATGCCCCCCAGACCCCCTGGTAGCTCGAGCCTTCGGAGCTCGATTCTGTGCCCCTCGCCCCCTCTAGTTTTTCCCCCCTTCCTACGGCACTGATCATTCATTATTCAGTGGTGTTAAAACGAAAGAAAGTCCGCTTTGTTTCACTCTCAAAACGCTTTGGAAGCTTGGTAAAGTCGAAAGTTGGAGCGAGTGGGTTCTTTAACGAGATCGCTAGACTCTACCAAAGAGAAGATAAAAGACAAGAATTATCCCGTATGATTTAAAGCTGATTTAGCACGAGTCTCTCTAAGAAAACTTGATTTAGTTCAAAATAATTTGGGGGTAGTCTAGCAAGCGAAGGCCACTAGTTGAAGGCCGAGGGGAACATGCACACAACACGATAATAAAATCTTATCATTGATAATAACACATTGATTTCTCGATCTTGTACAGCTGACTGAAACAACAACAAGAACAACAACATTTATTATTTGTATTGCGCCTTTTCTATAAAATATTCAAAAGCGCACCACAACCGTAATTAATAACTAAAATTTTACAAATCTTTCTATCAAAATCATAAAAAAATATTTACATTAAATGGGTAAAAGATAATTACAAATAAAGATATAGATATGCTAAGATAACTGAAATGATTCCTTAAATAAAAATGTCTTAATTAAAGTCTTAGAAGATTCTAAGTTCGTTGCTTCGCGCGCGGACCTTGGCAGCTAATTCCATAGGAAAGGAGCAGCTACCTGGAAAGCTCTGTCTCCCAATGTTTTCTTGGCTTTCACACTTGGTCTTTCCAACAAACGACCATTGTCGTTGCGCCTCAAATGGTAGGACGAAGGCTGTTGAATACTAATTAAATCTGAAAGGTACTTAGGTGATAGGCCATGCAAAATTTTAAAAGTTATCAAGAGTATCTTATAAAACGCCAGAACGCCAGAATACCATTTCTTCGCAGAGATTGAACTTACCTTTCTCTGAGATGTCGCCAGCAAGAACAGCTCGAGTAAATAAAATAACTTGTTATGCTCCAAAAATATTCTTTTATTGAAACTCTTACAGTCAAAATGAGAAAGATAATTGCATTCCTGTTACGCTTCGAATTTCGACCATCACTGTTTATGTGGGATCTTTTCAGTTTGTCCAGCTAAGCGTGATAAGTAAGTCATTTTGCGGTGTTAATAATGCTCCCTTATAATATTCGAGTCAAAGTTCGTATAGAAATTACGCAAGCTCGGAAGGCGCCTTTTGTGCGGACATCTCAAAATGTCAGCAAGGTCCCCTCCAAGTTAACCTGGTCGATGCATATTTCTGTGGTATTATCAATTGACATTTGTGGTCGTAAATAACATTCAGATCATGCAAATAAAAAGTGAGAACGTCTTTAGTTACATTGGCAAGGGTCAGTGATTTTCAAGAAACTAGGTTTGTTTCTTAGCCGGCTTTATGTTAGCCATATGTGTTAGCTAAAAGTATGAACTTACCCGAGTGTTACCTGAGTGTTCAGTGCCCCTTCCCGCCCGCCCACCCCAATGTTCCCCACTCTTAAATGCTTTGGATGCTTGGTAAAGTCGAAAGTTGGAGTGGTTTCTTTAACGAGACAGCTAGCGTCTTCCAAAGAGAAGATAAAAGACAAGAATTATCCTGTATGATTTAAAGCTGATTTAGCACGAGTCCCTCTATGACAACTTGATTTAGTTCAAAATAATTCGGGGGTAGTCTGGCAAGCGATGGCTACTAGTTGCCTAGGCCTAGGTAGCGCAAGGGAACACAACACGATAATAAAATCTTATCATTAATAATAACACATTGATTTCTCGATCTTGTATAGCTGACTGAACGTCAGAATTCCATTTCGTCACAGAGATTGAACTTACCTTTCTCCGAGATGTCGCCAGCAAGAACAGCTGGAGTGAATAAAATAACTCGTTATGCTCCAAAAAGATTCTTTTATTGAAACTCTCACAGTAAAAATACAGGAAACAAAACGAGCAAGTTAATTGCATTCCTGTTACGCTTAATTTCGACCATCACTGTGCATGTGGGGATCTTTTCAGTTTGTCCAGCTAAGCGTGATAAGTAAGTCATTTTGCGGTGTTAATAATGCTCCCTTATAATATTCGAGTCAAAGTTCGTATAGAAATTACGCAAGCTCGGAAGGCGCCTTTTGTGCGGACATCTCAAAATGTCAGCAAGGTCCCCTCCAAGTTAACCTGGTCGATGCATATTTCTGTGGTATTATCAATTGACATTTGTGGTCGTAAATAACATTCAGATCATGCAAATAAAAAGTGAGAACGTCTTTAGTTACATTGGCAAGGGTCAGTGATTTTCAAGAAACTAGGTTTGTTTCTTAGCCGGCTTTATGTTAGCCATATGTGTTAGCTAAAAGTATGAACTTACCCGAGTGTTACCTGAGTGTTCAGTGCCCCTTCCCGCCCGCCCACCCCAATGTTCCCCACTCTTAAATGCTTTGGATGCTTGGTAAAGTCGAAAGTTGGAGTGGTTTCTTTAACGAGACAGCTAGCGTCTTCCAAAGAGAAGATAAAAGACAAGAATTATCCTGTATGATTTAAAGCTGATTTAGCACGAGTCCCTCTATGACAACTTGATTTAGTTCAAAATAATTCGGGGGTAGTCTGGCAAGCGATGGCTACTAGTTGCCTAGGCCTAGGTAGCGCAAGGGAACACAACACGATAATAAAATCTTATCATTAATAATAACACATTGATTTCTCGATCTTGTATAGCTGACTGAACGTCAGAATTCCATTTCGTCACAGAGATTGAACTTACCTTTCTCCGAGATGTCGCCAGCAAGAACAGCTGGAGTGAATAAAATAACTCGTTATGCTCCAAAAAGATTCTTTTATTGAAACTCTCACAGTAAAAATACAGGAAACAAAACGAGCAAGTTAATTGCATTCCTGTTACGCTTAATTTCGACCATCACTGTGCATGTGGGGATCTTTTCAGTTTGTCCAGCTAAGCGTGATAAGTAAGTCATTTTGCGGTGTTAATAATGCTCCCTTATAATATTCGAGTCAAAGTTCGTATAGAAATTACGCAAGCTCGGAAGGCGCCTTTTGTGCGGACATCTCAAAATGTCAGCAAGGTCCCCTCCAAGTTAACCTGGTCGATGCATATTTCTGTGGTATTATCAATTGACATTTGTGGTCGTAAATAACATTCAGATCATGCAAATAAAAAGTGAGAACGTCTTTAGTTACATTGGCAAGGGTCAGTGATTTTCAAGAAACTAGGTTTGTTTCTTAGCCGGCTTTATGTTAGCCATATGTGTTAGCTAAAAGTATGAACTTACCCGAGTGTTACCTGAGTGTTCAGTGCCCCTTCCCGCCCGCCCACCCCAATGTTCCCCACTCTTAAATGCTTTGGATGCTTGGTAAAGTCGAAAGTTGGAGTGGTTTCTTTAACGAGACAGCTAGCGTCTTCCAAAGAGAAGATAAAAGACAAGAATTATCCTGTATGATTTAAAGCTGATTTAGCACGAGTCCCTCTATGACAACTTGATTTAGTTCAAAATAATTCGGGGGTAGTCTGGCAAGCGATGGCTACTAGTTGCCTAGGCCTAGGTAGCGCAAGGGAACACAACACGATAATAAAATCTTATCATTAATAATAACACATTGATTTCTCGATCTTGTATAGCTGACTGAACGTCAGAATTCCATTTCGTCACAGAGATTGAACTTACCTTTCTCCGAGATGTCGCCAGCAAGAACAGCTGGAGTGAATAAAATAACTCGTTATGCTCCAAAAAGATTCTTTTATTGAAACTCTCACAGTAAAAATACAGGAAACAAAACGAGCAAGTTAATTGCATTCCTGTTACGCTTAATTTCGACCATCACTGTGCATGTGGGGATCTTTTCAGTTTGTCCAGCTAAGCGTGATAAGTAAGTCATTTTGCGGTGTTAATAATGCTCCCTTATAATATTCGAGTCAAAGTTCGTATAGAAATTACGCAAGCTCGGAAGGCGCCTTTTGTGCGGACATCTCAAAATGTCAGCAAGGTCCCCTCCAAGTTAACCTGGTCGATGCATATTTCTGTGGTATTATCAATTGACATTTGTGGTCGTAAATAACATTCAGATCATGCAAATAAAAAGTGAGAACGTCTTTAGTTACATTGGCAAGGGTCAGTGATTTTCAAGAAACTAGGTTTGTTTCTTAGCCGGCTTTATGTTAGCCATATGTGTTAGCTAAAAGTATGAACTTACCCGAGTGTTACCTGAGTGTTCAGTGCCCCTTCCCGCCCGCCCACCCCAATGTTCCCCACTCTTAAATGCTTTGGATGCTTGGTAAAGTCGAAAGTTGGAGTGGTTTCTTTAACGAGACAGCTAGCGTCTTCCAAAGAGAAGATAAAAGACAAGAATTATCCTGTATGATTTAAAGCTGATTTAGCACGAGTCCCTCTATGACAACTTGATTTAGTTCAAAATAATTCGGGGGTAGTCTGGCAAGCGATGGCTACTAGTTGCCTAGGCCTAGGTAGCGCAAGGGAACACAACACGATAATAAAATCTTATCATTAATAATAACACATTGATTTCTCGATCTTGTATAGCTGACTGAACGTCAGAATTCCATTTCGTCACAGAGATTGAACTTACCTTTCTCCGAGATGTCGCCAGCAAGAACAGCTGGAGTGAATAAAATAACTCGTTATGCTCCAAAAAGATTCTTTTATTGAAACTCTCACAGTAAAAATACAGGAAACAAAACGAGCAAGTTAATTGCATTCCTGTTACGCTTAATTTCGACCATCACTGTGCATGTGGGGATCTTTTCAGTTTGTCCAGCTAAGCGTGATAAGTAAGTCATTTTGCGGTGTTAATAATGCTCCCTTATAATATTCGAGTCAAAGTTCGTATAGAAATTACGCAAGCTCGGAAGGCGCCTTTTGTGCGGACATCTCAAAATGTCAGCAAGGTCCCCTCCAAGTTAACCTGGTCGATGCATATTTCTGTGGTATTATCAATTGACATTTGTGGTCGTAAATAACATTCAGATCATGCAAATAAAAAGTGAGAACGTCTTTAGTTACATTGGCAAGGGTCAGTGATTTTCAAGAAACTAGGTTTGTTTCTTAGCCGGCTTTATGTTAGCCATATGTGTTAGCTAAAAGTATGAACTTACCCGAGTGTTACCTGAGTGTTCAGTGCCCCTTCCCGCCCGCCCACCCCAATGTTCCCCACTCTTAAATGCTTTGGATGCTTGGTAAAGTCGAAAGTTAGAGTGGTTTCTTTAACGAGACAGCTAGCGTCTTACAAAGAGAAGATAAAAGACAAGAATTATCCTGTATGATTTAAAGCTGATTTAGCACGAGTCCCTCTATGACAACTTGATTTAGTTCAAAATAATTCGGGGGTAGTCTGGCAAGCGATGGCCACTAGTTGAAGGCCTAAGTAGCGCAAGGGAACGCAACACGATAATAAAATCTTATCATTAATAACATATTGATTTCTCGATCTTGTACAGCTGACTGAACGTCAGAATACCATTTCTTCACAGAGACTGAACTTACCTTTCTCCGAGATGCCGCCAGTAAGAACAGCTGGAGACGGAGTGGATAAAATAACTTGTTATGCTCCAAAAAGATTCTTTTATTGAAACTCTCACAGTAAAAATACAGGAAACAAAACGAGCAAGTTAATTGCATTCCTGTTACGCTTAATTTCGACCATCACTGTGCATGTGGGGATCTTTTCAGTTTGTCCAGCTAAGCGTGATAAGTAAGTCATTTTGCGGTGTTAATAATGCTCCCTTATAATATTCGAGTCAAAGTTCGTATAGAAATTACGCAAGCTCGGAAGGCGCCTTTTGTGCGGACATCTCAAAATGTCAGCAAGGTCCCCTCCAAGTTAACCTGGTCGATGCATATTTCTGTGGTATTATCAATTGACATTTGTGGTCGTAAATAACATTCAGATCATGCAAATAAAAAGTGAGAACGTCTTTAGTTACATTGGCAAGGGTCAGTGATTTTCAAGAAACTAGGTTTGTTTCTTAGCCGGCTTTATGTTAGCCATATGTGTTAGCTAAAAGTATGAACTTACCCGAGTGTTACCTGAGTGTTCAGTGCCCCTTCCCGCCCGCCCACCCCAATGTTCCCCACTCTTAAATGCTTTGGATGCTTGGTAAAGTCGAAAGTTGGAGTGGTTTCTTTAACGAGACAGCTAGCGTCTTCCAAAGAGAAGATAAAAGACAAGAATTATCCTGTATGATTTAAAGCTGATTTAGCACGAGTCCCTCTATGACAACTTGATTTAGTTCAAAATAATTCGGGGGTAGTCTGGCAAGCGATGGCTACTAGTTGCCTAGGCCTAGGTAGCGCAAGGGAACACAACACGATAATAAAATCTTATCATTAATAATAACACATTGATTTCTCGATCTTGTATAGCTGACTGAACGTCAGAATTCCATTTCGTCACAGAGATTGAACTTACCTTTCTCCGAGATGTCGCCAGCAAGAACAGCTGGAGTGAATAAAATAACTCGTTATGCTCCAAAAAGATTCTTTTATTGAAACTCTCACAGTAAAAATACAGGAAACAAAACGAGCAAGTTAATTGCATTCCTGTTACGCTTAATTTCGACCATCACTGTGCATGTGGGGATCTTTTCAGTTTGTCCAGCTAAGCGTGATAAGTAAGTCATTTTGCGGTGTTAATAATGCTCTCTTATAATATTCGAGCAGGAGCCATAATCGGGGACGGTCCGTCTCCGATTATGGCTCCTGATTCGAGTCAAAGTTCGTATAGAAATTACGCAAACTCGGAAGGCGCCTTTTGTGCGGACATCTCAAAATGTCAGTCGACTGATTATCTAAACCGAACCAGAAAAACATTTACACAAGCACTTTTCCTAATACTTTAACCCCTAAAATGGCTAAAAATCCCTATATTTTTCGACAAACGCGATCTTAGCTTTATGTCACGCACCGCCAAAACTCCGAAATTCAAAATGCGCTGGTTCCCAAACGAAGGACGCTATTGAGCTGGAAAGTTGTAAACAGATATAAATTTAGTACCTCTTATGCCTGATGAGGATAAAATCTTTAGTGGCTCTTTAGTTTTGGATTTAAGAATTTGATGACGTCACGTGAACACACTCTATATCCTCAATTCTTGTCTAGGAACACGGTTGCGTTGAAAACGCGTGAGCGATGTTCACTTATCACTAAGCGGCACTATAACTGCGTTTTGAAGGGGGCAGGTGCTCGAGAATCCTTAGAGGATAAACCATGCTTTTATCTTTATCTTTTGTCTTATCTTTGCCGCACGTTCACGTAGTAGTTTCCCTGTCTTTCCCGCGTTTCCTTGACGCACGAGAGACTGGGAACGAAAGAGAAACTCAACATGGCTGCGAAAACTTCGAGCTGGTTTAAATCTTATTTTTTCGCCAAATAATCGATGAAGAGACTACCTTTGGTATTTTTAGCCTTTCGAAACGTATTTTCTGTTGTGTATTTGTACCTCAATTCAAGAATTATGCCTTCAGCAGGCTGCAAAACACACAAAATGGGGACCTTGTTGACTGACCTTCGCAAATGAATAACAGCCTGGTAGGAAGCTGACGTGCTAAACTGCTAGGGTGAGTTTAAGCTTTAACTCAAATACTTTTATTTACGAATATTGGTTTTTATGCACAGTCATCTCCTCGCTCTTGCCAGTAGATAAGTTTAAGATTTAACTCGGTTAAATTGAATTTCTCAGAGTGTCCGAAAAGTGTCTCCAGGTGTCTCACATGAAGCGGGAAATTCAAATTCTTTCATGTATCGCACACGTGCGTCTTTGTTTTGAGCAAAAAATATCGGTAAGCTACGGTTTGTTTGTAAGATGTTAAAACGTACTTAAACTCTCCCTCCCTCCTTTAACACGGCTTTGCATTTGTGCGAATCTCACATCTGGGAGGCCAATTTCTCACGTCTAGCTGAAAATTGTAAGCTATTACAACCGCAATTGTTTTTTCACTTCTTTTCCCTTTGCCCTCCATAACATAGAGGGAAAAATAAAGATGATGATGATGATGACATAGAACTGCAGTTTGTGGGAAAATTTAGAGACATTTGCATTGAAAATTTAAATTGCGACTCCTTGTCTCCCGGTACAGCTGTGCCCTCCAATTGTCATTGATAAAATCTTCTACTGGGAATCTTTAACTTGTAATTCATTAAAACTTTGGAATGTTAATTATCCTCATTATGGGTGTACGGGCAATTTTTTTTCCTCAGGAAAAGGGGGGGGGGGGGGGGGGGGG